CTAGAGCCTGGCACTTTGAACTTGGACTTAAAGCCTCCAAATTGTAAGAATAAACTCCTGTTTGTTAAGGCCGTCCCATTTGTGGTATTTTCTTGTCAGAGCGGCACTAGGGAACCAGACCACCCCTCGACCTTGGGCTTCAGCTCTGCCTCTTGCTCCTGGCCCACTGGACCTGGAGGCATCTCTTCACTCAGGCAGCTACTGGCTGCTGAGGCTGACAAGCCCAAGATCAACAAATAAAATGGCCCAGTCCCGATGTCACCAAACCACACGCCAGGCCATTAATTTAAGTGCATTGAAAGTCCCATGGTCAGCAGAGCATGGCAGGCTGCTGAACAATGACACAGCTACGTGCAGGGCTCAAGCGTGCCCTGAGCTGGAGACCGTTCCCCAGGGCTTCTGCTTACATACAGGAAGCAGACCACATCCCTAAGGCAGCTGCTCAGCTGCTCCCAGTAGACCCCACCATGGAGTTGATCACCAGTCTCATCACGGGGACTACTACATCCAGCTGCCCAGCCACTCAACCAGGCCCAGCCAAGTTGACACACAAACGTAACCACCACAGCCAATGACTCGACAGCAGCTGGTGGGAGGTTTTGGATTGTTTTTGTCCTCTTTACATAGAGTAGGAGCCCTGGTGGTTAAGCACGCAGCTGATAACTGAAAGGTGAGCGATTGAGACCCGCCAGCCACTCCGTGGGAGAACAGTCTGCTTCTGTCAAGATTTCGTTACCAGGTGCTGTTGGGTCGGCCCCAAGTCATAGCAACCGTATGTACGACAGACAACAAAACCCTGCCTGGTCCTGCACCGTCCTGACAGCCCACTGGGTCAGTCCATCTTATTGAGGTTCTTCCTCTTTTTTGCTGACCCTCTGCGTTACCAACCATGAGATCCTTCTCCAGAGACTGATCTCACCTTATAACACAACCAAAGTACAAGAGAAGAAGTCTCACCGTGCTTGGTTCCAAGGAGCATTCCGGCTCACTTCTCCAGGGCAGATTTGTTTGTTCTTTCGCCAGTCTATGGTATATTCAGTATTCTTCGCCAGCACCACAATTCAAAGGCATCAGTCAGTTCTTCTTCAGTCTTCCTTATTCGGGAGCTCTAATGGCATAGTGCCTAAGGCATTCAAACCCACCAACCACTCCTCAGAAGGAAGGTTGAGCAGTCTGCTTCTGTAGTGATTACGCCTCAGAAACCCAAGGCATCACTATCAGTCGGATCCAACTCAGTGGCAGTGAGTTTGGTTTGGTTTTGGTTTTCCTTATTCATTGTCCAGCTCTCACATGCATATGAGGCGATTGAAAAAATGTCATGGCTTGGGTTAAGTGCACCTTAGTCTTCAAAGTCACATCTTTGCTCTTAAACTTTAAAGTGATCTTTGCAGCACATTTGCCCAGTGCAATACATCTTTTGATTTCTTGACTTCTGCTTCTGTGGGTGTTGATTGTGGACCCAAGAAAAATGAAATCCTTGACAACTTCAGTCTCTTCTGTTTATCATGATGTTGCTTATTGGTCTAGTTGTGAGGATTTTTATTTTGTGTTGCTGTGTCATGCACACTCAAGGCTGTAGTCTTTGATCTTCATCAATTAAGTGCTTCAACTCTTCTTGGCTTTAAGCAAAATTACGCCATTTGTGTATCGCAGGTTGTTAATGAGTCTTCCTCCAATGCTGGTCCCTCATCTGTCTAAAGATTTACAGCCTAGGAAACTCTTTGGGGCAGTTGTACTTGGTCCTGTAGGGTCACCATGAGTCAGAATTGACTCCACGGTTTCGGTTATGTTGAGTAGAACTTGGCTGTCATGGGCTCAGGTGATGGACGCAAGATGTCCAGGCTTTTGGTCTTGGTGGCTTTGGACCAGCTCGGGCTTGGCATCTCTAAGACTGTGTTGCTGTCCATAAAGTGGGGGAATCATCGTTTCTAACCCAGAGGCTGTTGTGAGAAGTGCACGAGACAGTGGGTGGAGCATCGTCTGGCCCGGTGAATGTGACAGTTGCCCACAGTATGGAAGCCCTCGTGTGTTAGACCCTTTGGCTGCTGCCACAAACCATCCCCACCTGTTGCCTCTAAACAACACGATGTATTCTGAGGGGCAAAAGGAAGGATAGAGACAAGGAACCCAGGAAGAGCACTGTTACATTGAGGGGATTGCAACCAGTGCCACAAAACAAACGTGTATAAATTGTTGAATACGAAACCAACTTGCTCTTTAAACTTTCCCCCAAAGTAAAATTTTAAATTAAAGAACAGATGTATTTTCTCCCAGTTGCAGAGGTGCGGAGTCAAGAAGGGGCTCATGGGGCCAGCAGGGTGTGGGCAGGGCTGGTTCCTTCTGGAAGCCCCAGGGAGCATCCGCAGCCGTGCCTTTTCCACATCGCGAAGCTGTCCGTGTTTTTCTGCTTGTGGCCCCTTTCTCTGTCTTCAATGCTCGCTCACTCGCCGTCTCCGATGCTCCTGACCCATCTCTTCCCTTATGTGATGGCACTGGTCCCACTTGGATAACACAGGGTACTCCCCCCACCTCGAGATCCTTCGTGTAGTCACATCTGCCAAGTCCTCTCTGTCATGTAAGGTGACATAGTCACTAGTTCCAGTGATGAGGACCTGGACGTGGCAGGGGGGCATTATCCTGCCGACCACAGTACCCAGATCTGTAACATCTAGTCACACAGTACTATTCAGCGTCCAGTGGCGTCTCCTGAGTGCCTTGGTCTTGACTCAGTCTGAGTCAGAGGCGTTTCCTGAGTGTGTTGGTCTTGACTCAGAGTCGGTGAATGTATAAAGCAGGTGGAATGTTGGGTGTGAGAGTATGTGAGCCGGTGATCACCAGGATCGAATCCTTGCTCCTGCAACTGTCTCCCCCTCTTTACTTGTGCGCAGGATCCCCGCAAAGTCGAGGAGACGGCAGGTGACACGGTCAGCAGCACGGAGGAGAAAAAGCAAAGCAAGTCGCAGCAGCTGAGGAAGATCTTTAAAGAATACGGGGCCGTGGGTGTATGTTTACACATTGGCATCTCCTTGGTCTCCCTGGGCATCTTTTACACGGTGGTTTCCAGGTAAGAGTCTTGACAGTGAAGAAATTTGGTTTCTTATAATACTTATGCTTCATTAGTAAAGAGTGTCTGCTTTGAGGATTGTGCTCTTTGAAAGACTCTATGGGATCCAACAGATTCTGGTATATTTCGCACTCCCTGAGTATAAAGACAGCAACTCGAAAGGTTAGACAGGAACCTTAGGGGCCAGTGAGCGTATGTAGTACTGTGGACATTGTTCAATTTGTGTATTTCCGTGCATATTCTCAACAATCAAAAAATAAATTATTAAAAAATAATTTTACTACAGGATTCTACCTAAGAACTTATTTTTTCTAAGACTTTCCATTCATCTAGGTACTTGCATCACTTTTTCAAAAATACTTAATAAAATAGTTGTTTCTAAACAAACACTGCACATCTGGCGGCCACATCAGCTCCCAGTTCAGCCGCTTTCTCTGCCTCTTCCCCCCCAGTGGCGTGGACATGTCTGCAGTCCTGCTTAAACTCGGATTTAAGGAGTCGCTGGTGCAGTCCAAGATGGCGGCGGGCACGAGCACCTTCGTGGTGGCCTATGCGATCCACAAGCTGTTCGCGCCCCTGAGAATCAGCATCACCCTTGTCTCTGTGCCCTTGATTGTCAGATACTTCCGGAAAGTGGGATTTTTCAAACCTCCAGCCGTGAAGCCGTGACGACCTCTTCAGCTGTAGGCACTGCAAACCTGTTTCTTATAAACGACCCATTTTGGGTTGGTTTTAGGACTGCAGGGCTTTTGTAGGGGGAGCAGGGGGCTAATTGCTTTGTTCTCGTTTTACCTTTGCCGGCAGAATTCAGATTTCTGAATCGTTGTAATGTTTGGCTTTATCATCTATGACTGCACTTCCTCGTGGGCTTGTATATCTAACCTAGAACGTGCACAACCATCCGAAACGAGTTGCCATCAAACCAAACTGTTGGCCTGCAGCATGCTCCTTCTGGGGCTGTTGGTGAGACTGACTGCAGAGCCCCAGCAGAGCAACGACTCATAAAGCTTGTTTTCAGTTCTCTTTCCTCCCACTGGCCGTTGGGCTGCCTGCGGAGGGCTCGGCAGTATGCTGGGAACCAGCTCCGTTTAAGGAAGCGGAACGTCACGCCTAACAGTTTGTGATCAGGATCCAAATTAGCATCAGCCCTTTAACGCTCCTTACACTTGTATTGGGAAAAGAAACTCAAGTATGTCTGGTGTGTTTCACAGACTCCAAGGCCCCTTTCAAGTCTGGGCACCAGGGCCAGCTCCCCTGAGATTTCATTCAAGGAGAGTGAGGTCATTTGTTGCATTTTGTTAAACTGGAACCTCCCTCCAAGTAAAAAAGAGCCCTGGTGGCACAGTGGTTAAGTGGACAGCTGCTCGCAGAAGGGTCAGTGGTTCCCACCGGTGGGATTTGCCCCCGTAAAGATTACAGCCTCGAGACCCTACCAGACGGGCTCTTCCGCTCTGGCCTGTAGGGTCACTAGGAGTTGGAAACGACTCGGTAGCAGTGGGTGCCCACGGGATGGCGCCGTCTGACTCCTGATGCCCACACCCATGAGCCCTTCGCTACTGCAGCATGTGGAAAGCCGAGCCTCTGCCGGACCCTCTGCGTCTCAAACTCCACCCGTCAGAGCCACCACTGCAATGTTTACAGTTTGTTGCGTGATTTTTAATTGATTTAAAACTTAGTACATAAAAAGCAAATGTTGTATCATACCCTGAAAAGGAAATTTAGCCTCACTTATAATAAACGGAGGGAAGCTTGCTGGCACAGTGGTTTAGCACTCAGCTGCTCACCAGGAGGTCGGCGGTTTGAAGCCACCAGCCTCTCTGCAGAAGATGTGGCAGTCTGCTTCTGTAAAGCTTGACAGCCTTGGAAACCCTCTGGGGCAGTTCTGTTCTGTCCTAGAGCGTCCCTGTGAGTGGGAATAGACTGGGCCACCGGGCAGTGGGGTTATAAACGGAAGGCACCTGTAAAGTAAATACAACACGGAAGGGAGGGGACGGGGAGGGAGGGGACTGTGATGTCATTAACCTCTTAGCCAGTTTAACCCAGGAGGGGGGTGTAACCTGAGGCCCCTCGCTCTTACAGGATGAGTAAGTGTAGAAAGCAGCACACTAGAGCCACACTGAGAGAGACCTTCTTGAAGGTGTCAGGCCCCAGCACTTGGAGGAGGAAGCCCTTCCTGGGGACATAGCACTGTTTATGCTGCCCTGCCGCCATTGTTGAAGGGATTGTGTTTATTTTCTGGCCCCAGACTTCTGACATACTTGCAACAATCGGAAAACTGAAAAACCTCCACCTGACTTTGAGGGTTTTACTGAGCCCGGGCTGGCGGCTCCCTGGCCCACCTGTAGGAACCAGTCAATCAATCATTCCGCCACCTTTGAGAATAATCTTTGTGGGACAGGTCCTCCAACTTGTAAGATTTTTGAAACGCAGCTGTTCTCTTTTGAAGCAACCTGGCCCATTACCAAAGGGTTGACAGATATTGGAGCTGCCTCTCTGGAGCCTGGTTCCAAGGACATCTACACCTAGACAAGGTGTCCCTTGGATCAGCGCTAGGTAATTCGCACCCTGGCTGGAGCACTTTACACCGGTCAGCTTTGGGCCCCCCACCATCCAGAGCCTGAGCTGTGCTCGTGCTAACAAGCTACGAGGGAAGCAGGTGTCGGGCGCCCTTCCTAGACTGATCTTTCGCTGGTCATGTTGGAGTGGCCTGAAGGGGCAAGCGATAAAACGGATGCTCACACCAAACAGCCACAGCCTCACCTTCTCAGCCTGGCTCCACTCCCCTCCCGTGGCCAGTGCTCAACGCACAGTAACCGGGAGAATGAGGTCACGGGCTCAGGGCACTGGGCGCTCCACGTTCACCGTCAGGATGTACGGACCCCTGGATCTACGTGGTTTTTAACGGGACCAGTAACACTAGAGGACCTATTTTTAAAATGTAATAAGCCGTTATTCACCTGTTTTCCTTTAATCTGACAGTTCATATTCTGTGAAACAAATAAACACCTTCACGAGGTCGGCTGCTGAAGGACTGTGTGACTGGTGTGTTAACGGGCTCCCGCAGCGAGCTGCTTTCTTGTGTGGGACTGTTTGGGGAGATGTCATAGTTTAGCTGCCATCACTGATGAAACTGGCCTCATGATATTAACTATAGCTGGGGTGGACACTACACAAAACCAAGTGCAAAAGTTGGGGTTAGCTCAAGACTTCTAGAAACAAAAGCCCTCTGGTTCTGGGGGGGTAGGGGTAACAACACTGCAGTTTTAACTCCGTCCTATTATCACATTGTAACCCCAAGATGAGTATTTATGTTGGCCACTTTTATATTGATGGGTGCTGAAAGTCAGCCATAAAGCTTACTGCTCTACGAGTTCTCAGCGAGTCCAACAATCGCAAGTTTCCCCTCTTCGCTGCCAAGTTCCCCGTCTCCTCAGTTGTGAAGGGATGAAGCAGTGCTCGGCCAGGGCCAGTCGTCTACACAGGTAACTGAATGAGCAGCGCACTGAACGTGAGGCCGAGGCCGAGGAGGAGACGTGCTCTCCTCTCACTGGCTGTTCCAGGGCCACTGCCGAGCACGAGGTGGAAACAACCACTCGGAGACTTTGCATTTATTGACACATTTATTTTTAAAGTGTGCACACGTGCCTCAACTGTGTAATTAAAAAAAAAAAAAAAATTAGCCTTTACCATGTAGAAACAATTGCGGTACAGGTCTCACGGGTGTCCCGAGATGGGGCGGAGCACATGCTGCATTTTAAATGTCACCCAGGGGACGGTGCCAGCGAGGACTAAAGCCAAGCCGGCAGAACGGGGCGGGTGCTGGGCCGGCAGACGCTGACGTAAACACACAAGTCCGCAGAAGTCTTTAACGTTGGAAGCAAAGCTCCAGTGTTCGCTCCAACAGCTCTGCCAGCGTGGCCACCCAATAAGTTACACACACATTCGGGTACTTGGAGGTTATTGCACAGTGCTTCCTTGAGCTGAGTGGTCAGGGTGCCGGCGACAAGTCCCCAGCACCGGCCTCCTGGCCCTGCGGGGCTGGTGGGGCAGCGGCAGCTGAGCCAGTGGAACTGGCAGGGCCTCGTGTTTCCTGGAGTGGGGCTTTCTGACTAGGGAGGCTGAGCTGCCTGCCTGCTGGGTGAAACAGCGTTCTCAGTAGCCGGGGGCGGGCGGTCCACAGAAGGCGGCGTTGCAGTAGCGTTTGGCTGCCACTGCGCAGAAGCCCTGGCCCAGAGGCTCTCCCCTGCTGCACTCCTAAGACCGCTTGCTCGCTGCTGCTTTGTCCTGGCTGCCCGGGGGTTTTGAGGAGTTGGCTGCAATCCAGGGGTGCTCCAGTACTTCTTTGAGAGTCAGCCTCTGGCTTGGGTTGTGCTTCAGCAGTCTTGAAACTAGGTCCCTGGCTCCCATTGTCACCACGTCAGGGAACGCAAACTCCACCTGGAGTAAAGTAAGAGAGTCACAAGACGTGGTTTAGAGAGACCAAAGAGTAGAGGTGTTCAGATCTTACCAGCCCACCACGGAGGTTCACAAGGGGAGGATTCTACAAAAAGAATGTAGATGGATCCGTCAGTGACGTCTTACCCGTGAGATTCTGTTGTAGGTCTCCTGGTACGTGCTTGCCTCAAAGGGAGGTTTCCCAACTAAAAATTCATAGCAAAGGACTCCAAGGCTCCAGAGGTCCACCTTCTCATCGTGCATCCGGCCCTCAATCATCTCGGGAGGCAGGTAGTCGAGGGTGCCACAGAGAGTGGTTCTCCTGGGAACGGAGGAGGGGTTCAATTGACAGGCTTTGTCTTATTACTACTCATTGCTGTTAAGTTGGATCTGACTCATAGTGACCTCTCCTTGGGTTTCTGAGGCAGTATCACTACGGAAGTAGATTGCTAAATCTTCCTTCTGAGGAGTGGCCAGTGGGTTTGAACTGCCAGCCTTCTGGTTACCAGTCAGATGCCTTAGGCACTACGCCACCACTGAAAACCACTAACAACTACACTGTCATTTACTGCATGCTTTCTCTAGGCCAGATCCTGTGCCATGAAGCAGGTCTATTATAATTCCTCATTTCTATAGACTCCTGATCAAAAGGGGAGAAAATACAGAACACAGTTTCAAATTTTTATGGAATCCAAACTTTATGGAAGGAACCCAAGGCTGGATGGACCCCAAAATCAGTGTCCTGAGATCATCTTTAAAGCTGAAAATCAAAGATATCCCCGAAGTCGTCTTTAAACCAGCAACAGTTTGGCTTCATTAGTAAAGAATGTCAGTGTGGAGCATGGTGCCCTTAGAGACCTAGCTACGGGGCAAAGTGACAGCAGCGACTCAGAAGGCTGTTAGGGGTCTCAGGGCAGTGAGTTCACGGTAATGGGAGAAGAAACTCAGAACAAGAGTGATAATGGTTACCCAACTTGAAGAATGTAGTCAGTGTCATAGTTGGACATTTACAAATTGTTGATTGTGTGTATTTCAAAAAAAAAAAAAACACAATTTTTTTTTCACTAAAGTCCCATTTGTAGATAGGAGAGGGATTGAGGGAGTGTGTGAGATCACACAGCCAGCAACTTAGCCTAGCCCCAAATGTGCTCAACTCCAGGACCTCCCTGAACGTTCCAAAATATAGGGAGTAAAACTTATTACTGTGTGCAGTGCAACGGATTTACGAGGCCTTTCTTTGTAGCCATGGTCTTTAAACACCTACCAAAAGGCCAGGTGAGACTACACAAGTGAGTTGCTTGTGGCCCACCAAGGGGATTGGACAGCTTGCTAATAATATAAATAAGGTACATGGCACCCTTTTGGGGGTTTGTGGTGGTGGTGATAGGTGCCATGGAGTTGGCTCCAACTCACAGGGAGCCTATGTACAACAGAATGAAACGCTGCCTAATTCTGTGCCAGCTTCATAATCCTTGCTATACCTGAGCCCATCATTGCAGCCCCTGTGTCAATCCATCTCACTGAGGGCTTTCCATACAAATAAGGTGTATGGAATCCTAACAAGGGGCTTAGCGGCAGAACCAGGAGACCGGCGGAGACTGAAGGGGTTTCCTGGCCCAGACAGCAAGGTGATTACAGTGGATGTGCTGACCATGGGGTAGAAGGGCTGTGCCATTCAGGTAGGAAGCTTCCTGGGGGAAGGGGTGCCCCCAGGCACTTACTAGTGGAGCCCAAGAGCTTTATAACACTTTGCCTAGGGCCCAGTAGCCAGAGGCCAGAGAGAGAGATGACTGTGGGCATGGCTGAGATAGGCTGTCTCTATGGAACAAGTGGGAGGTCTGGTAGCATAGTGCCTAAGCTACTTGACTGCTAACCAGAAGACTGGCGGTTCAAACCCACCAGCCACTCCTTGGAAGGAAGGTTGGGCGATCTACTTCTGTAATGATACTGCCTCAGAAACCCAAGGAGGGGTCACTATGAGTTGGGTCCGACTCAATGGCAAACAACATGGAACAAGTGCATCTTGAGTTATTTCTGATCCTCAATTGTAACCTGTCACTTTCCTAATAAGCCCTCTGAGTATAGTCTGTGAGTTCTGTGTGGCTGTTCAGATTATTGTAACAGATTATCAAACCGAGAAGAGAATGCAGTGCCCTGGGAAGGACAGGGTGAAAAGGCTGTCTGACCTCTGCCTCATAGCTATCAGCCTTGGGCTGATGTTGACGGTGATTCTTCCCCCTCATGAACAGAGATGAAGAGGTGTGACTCCCCTACCATACCACGTTTACAGTTGGTGTGAGGTGCCAGAACATGGCAATGGCTCCAGACTCATGGAAGCATGAGACTTTGTAAGACAAAGAACCAAGGGACATATGAAGGCAAACTTGATTCTTGGTTGGTTACTTTGGTTGTTACCTGTAATGGCTGAAAGGAAAGGAAATGATATTATGCTACCACTGACGGGAGAACAGGCACTTAGGGCAAAAGCCAGGCTGGTTAAACAAGATGACTGCTGGGGGCCAGGGGCCAGGTTGCACCCAGCCAGGGTCCAAGCCATATGCATATGAACGGAAAGATAGTCAAGGTATGCAGAAGCCAATAAAAATTGAATATTTAAAAAGGTTTATGTGTTTATTTGAATGCACCAAGGACACTGAAGGGAGCTCTGGGAGGGTAGAGCCTAAGGCATTTGACTGCTAACCAGAAGGCTGGCGGTTCAAACCCACCAGCCACTCCTCGGAAAGAAGATGGGGCAATCTACTTCCGTAGTGATACCACCTCAGAAACCCAGGGAGGGGTCGCTATTGAGCCGGGTCCGACTTGAGGGCACATAACAACAACAAGGATACTGAATGTTTCTCCTAGTGTTGTAAAAAAGACCTAAACATGAGACGGAAATGAATTTTTTTTTTTAATAGACAACAGAGAGCATATATAACTGTCTTCAACCAGTACCTGACTGGTATGCTAAAAGGGGTGCAAGGATTTGCCCAAAAGAAACACATTCTGTTGGTTTCAATCCAGTAGCCCTGTGTCTAGAGTACTGGGGCTTGGGTGGAAAACCTGAGCCCTACCCAGAATCTTTCAAGAAATTTGCATTTGAAAAGACATGCAGACCCACCCAGAACTGCTGAGAGAACAAGAGATTTGCATTTGAAGGAAAAACTTGCAGAAGAAGAAAACAGCTGTTTTTCTTTCAGAATTTCAAGGAGCACTTTGCCTTTGGGTACACTGAGGCAGAAGTCAGTGCCCATCAGAAGGAACCCCTCTCCAGGACTGGAAGTCACAGGGAGCCAGCAAGGCAGATGCCACCTGGAGCCACGAGACGAGAAGCAGAGGAAGTCCAATAATGAAGAGACAGGCCAGGTTTGGACGTGTTCCACTGGCACTCGTGGACCTAGCCCACAAGGGCTAGGCATGAGAAAGAGAGAAGGGGTTCGCTGGTCTGAAGTACGGGAAGGGTGTGGACTACTGGGCCTACAGGAGGTGCTCATTGATCCAGCCCACAGGGACAAGGAAGAGCCAACCAGAGACTACTGGCACCATGAGCTGGTGTGAACTGGTGCAGTTAGATGGCTGCTCTGGACTGGACTTTGCTTGTGGATGCAGATGCTCAAAGTTCCAATCAGAACAGAGGATGCTTCAGATTAAGGCACATGCTCGGCTCCTGAGAGTACTGGTTTGGTAAAAACTAAACGCACTGCCGCCGAGTCGGATCCAACTCATAGCGACACCTCCTTGGGTTTCTGAGGCAGTATCACTGCGGAAGTAGATTGCCCCATCTTCTTTCCGAGGAGTGGCTGGTGGGTTTGAACCGCCAGCCTTCTGGTTAGCAGTCAAATGCCTTAGGCATTATGCTACCAGAGGGGTGGGCAATTTAAACACTGGCTATCTAAAACTGGGAGAGATAAAGGGATGAGGTGGCTGGCTTACACACTTTCGTGGGTGTGCTTACACTCAATGAGGGGACAAAGGAGGATCCGCACTGAATAGATTGCTCTTTTTTTGATGGGAGTGGGGAAGATGCTGATAGGACTCCCAGATTCAGCTGTGGATGTTGACAGTTAGCAGGGTTAACTGTGAAGGTAAAAACTGATGTGGAAGCTGTTGAGTGTGAAAGGAGAGAGTGGGCTGGGGACGGAGCGGGGGACTCTTGGACTGGAGTCCAGTGGCCGAACCTAAAAGTCCGTGAAGGGCTTTGCTATATTAATACATTGTGAGGCTCAAAGCAGTAGAATGATCTCTCAGTTAAATTTATCAGACACCAGACACAGTGAAGCCAGGATGGTACATGGAGAACCTGACCAGATGAGAGGGACACCTGCAGCAGACCTGAATGGCTGGACCTGAGGAACCGCACCCTGAGGACTCTGTCCGACTGAAGGACTAACTGTTAATGACTGTTTTTGACTGGTACAATGATCAGGAGGGAGAAGTTATCCTGTACATACGGAAGAACCATGGCTAGAAAAGCCAGGGTATAGCCTGCAGCGTGATGGACGGCTTTTATATGGCCTTGCTAGCCATGGTCTTGTAACTCACCAGCAAAAGTTTGGGTGGGAGTACACAAATAAGGTGCTTGTGGTCCACCAAGGGGACTAGACAGCTTGCTAATATAAACAAGCGGTATGGCACAACAAGGGGTTGGACCATGCATATGGAACCCTAACAAGGGGGTTGGTGGGTCAAATCCATCAGCTGCTCTGGGGAAGGAAGACTGGGCAATCTACTTCCGTAAAGATTTACTGCCTCAGAAACCTAAAGGGGGTTGCTACGAGTCAGAATCAACTCGATGGCAGTGGGTTTGGTTTGGTTTTGGTCAACAAGGGGATTGGTCAGTTTTGCCATCCTGTGAGGATTAAAATGAAACATCCCAGAGGCAGAACAGAGGGACCTGACTACCACCAAGGGATGGGAGCAGAGTATATCCTTTGGACCCAGAGTCCCTGTGCTAAGAATGTCCTGGACCCAGGAGACAGAGGGGGCTGTAACATCAGAGACAGTGCATGGTGGCACTAAGCATGGCAGGGAGATGGTGGCAGAACCAGGAGACTGGCTCGAGAAGGCACAGCAGGCTCCCAGGCCACAGAGCAAGGTGTTACAGCGCGTGTCCAGATGCACAGAGTAAGAGCTGAGAACCTTCCGGTAGAGAGGCTTCCGGGAGGACGGGATGCCCGAGGCACGGACTGGTAGAGCACAAGAACACTCAAACACTTTCCTGAGCAGGGCAGAGACCGGGCCCCGAGGCCAGAGAAAAAGCTGCCTGTGGGCACAGGCTTTCATCAGCTGCCTGATGGAAGAGTGGACGTGTCCCAAGTCGTTTCTGATCCTCAGTAGTAACCTGTCACTTCCCTGATGAACCCTGTAACCGTGAGGATGTTGTGTGTGGCCACTGCAGTGAATGACAGCACCCAGCAGAGAAGCAGGGTGCCTTCCGAGGGAGGGCAGCTGGTGGGATAATGGCTGCAGGAAGGAGGTCTGTCTGACCTCCGCCTCACAAGCCGTCCCAGGCTAGCCGTGCTGCTGAAGCCCCTCCCACCTGTGACATCAGACCAGCGGCGCTGATGGCGCTGCCACCACACCCTTTTACACGGCCTGAAAGCAGCTGTGCCAAGCTCTCTGTAAAGACAACTTGGAGTTTTACATTTGTTTTCATATCACAGATATGCTAAGCGCTAACACCCGGGTAGCACTAAGGGCAAGAAACTAAAACCCATCCCACCAGGAGAGCACCAGGCTTGGGTTACAGACTCATGCTGCCACAGGCCACTGGTACTAGAGAGAGGCTGAGACACCACGGGCGGCACCACACCCTGGGAAGTTTTCTTGCCAAACGTACTTGCCCTGCATCTGTTCAGGCCATTAGTCCTAACGTCTCATTTTCAGCAAATATAAGGGATAAAGGACCAAGGTGCATGACACACATTCAGAAACTCCATTTAAAATGTTCAGGGGCTGATCTCAGTTAAGACCAGAGAGAGAGATACAATGTATGGACCTTGGCTGGGTTCTGATTTAAAACGGTGAAATCATTTTGTTGACAACTATTGTTATGTGCCGTCGAATCGGACCCGACTCATAGCGACCCCTCCTTGGGTTTCTGAGGCGGTATCCACTGTGGAAGTAGATTGCCCAACCTTCCTTCAGAGGAGTGGCTGGTGAGTTTGAAATGCCACCTTCTGTTTAGCAGTTAAGTGCCTTAGGCACTATGCTACCAGAGCTCCTTGTTGACAACTAGGAAGATTTAAACAGGGACCCAACATCAGGTATTAACAACTGCCTTGCTTTTTCTCGTTTGGTAACAACTTGTGATCACAGAGAATGTCCTAGAGAGATGCATACTCAAGTCCTTAAGGGTAAAGCATCATGACGTCTCCAATTTATTTTCAAATGTTCCACCAAAAAGCAGCTGCAGTGTGCACGGCAGATGCTGCCGATCATGGGACGTCGACACCAGACAGGCAGGTGTGCTCTGAACTGCAGGGAGCGTTGTGTTGTGTGTGGATTTCCTAACAAGGGTGGGAGGCAGACGGGACGGCCAAGACATCACACCAAGAGCAAAGATTCTCAAGTTTCCGTTTCTATCAGCTCTTTAGCATGTCAGTGCAACAGTGTGTCCAGCCACGCCAGGCACCCGGCAAGCATGCAGGTGTTCCCACAGAGGAACTGTGCCTGGAATCAGGAGCTACGTGTCTGGACACCTAATCTGTCACCCCCAGTGGGGGGGAGGGAGACAGACTGAATCGAGCTCTCAAACTGGTACACAGAGTCTGCGACATACTGGGGTCATTATTAACCTTTGGGACGTGACACGCAGTGTTTACACCGACAGAAGGGTGTACAGCAGTGCACACACTGAGGTCTAGCTGAGCGTGGCCCTTCTGTGAAGCCTACCATTCTTTAGTGTCTGCCTCAGGGGACAGCAGCTGGCACCAATGAAAGGCACCAGTCCTTTAGTAAAAAAGTAAAAATAAGACTCAGCACTGAAACTGTGACAAGTGGTCAGTAACACAACGCAGGGTTTTCCCTGCCATCTACTGAGACTAGAAAGTGGCTTTAAGTCATCTATGGTCACTCTCAAGTCCCCCCCAAAAGCTGACAAATCTGAAGCAGGTGACACCCTGTATACTTTACACAGTTCCAAAAGCCTATTTTACCCTAAAATAAACGTCACACAGCAGAGAATATTCTGCCTGTGTTTGCAAGTCCACCAAAGATTTCAACTGTTTCCTTACTTTGACTTTCAGAGGGTGAAGGGATAAAAAAGGACTAGTCCTACTGCTGACAAAGGCAGACCCACAACTTGCCTGTCATTACCACGCCCCAAGCTCCACGCAAACCAGCGTTTAACTTCCCCGCGTGCTGGGCTCTCACCTCCAGGCCTCGGCAGTGCTGCCCTCGGGAGTGTCACTCCATCTTCTTACCCGGGGTGCAGCGTCACGTCTGCCATACCTGTTTACTTGTCTCCTTCATTAGTCTCTAAGGACATCGAGCCTCTTTATCCCCAGGCTAGAACACTACTAATGTTTTCACGGAGACACTAGTTTATCACCAGCCTAGGCCGTGCTCAGCCGTCCTGTGCAACCACCTCCCCAGCCAAGACCAGGGACAAGGGTTACGTTCAGCGTTCCATGAGTTGGCTCCCGGTTGGCTGCCAGGGGCTTCTGCTGGACGGCTGAGCCCCCGCCTGGGAAGTTGCTCACCTGGAGGAGGGGGCGTGCACCGACCACCCGAAGTCTGCGATCTTCAGCTCCCCAGTGGAGCCAAGGAGCAGGTTCTCAGGTTTAATGTCTCGATGGATAACTTTCTTGGAATGACAGTAAGACAGGGCATCTGCCAGCTCTGTGATGTACTGTGAAAAAGAGGGTGGAAAGTCTGTGCTTTAGAGTTTATGTAGCACAAATTAACATGAGACGTTTCTCTGGACACATGAAGCCCATCATAGATGGTGACACGCAAGCAGGCTTTACAGCAAACACATGATGAATCTACATAAATCATGAAACCAATTCTGAACGCGGAGCATGAGGTTCACGTTACCCAGGGTGAAGCTATGCTAGTGCAGCACATGTGATGTGGGAGGCAGACGGCACTGAGGACGAGCTGTGCCACATCCCCATCCTGGCCCAGCAGCAGTAGCCAACTACAGTGACGCGGAACTGTGGTGATGCGGCAACCGACATAGATGAGGGATTCAGTGTCTAAACTGCGTTTTCAAAAAGAACAGTTTAAGCCAGACCAGTTGACCTAAGATACTCTAAACCTTGAACCTAAATTACCCACGCTAAGGTCCTATTTTAGCTAAATAACAGACTGACTCACAAAAGAATAACTGTTCACCTGTAAGTTCTATTTGCCTTTAAAAACCATCTATTTGTGACCAAATGCTCAAAAATTATTTTTAAAAGAAAGATGAGAAGGTAAGGGGACAGGGAAACTAGATGAAAGGAAACAGAACCACCAGAATGGAAATCACAGAAATGCTCCCATATGTTGAAGAACGTGGCCAGTGTCACCACACAGTGTGTGCAGAATGGTTGAATGGGAACTTAAACTGCTGCATAAGCATTCACACAATATTTAATTTTTCTTTTTTTTTTTATAAAAAGGACATTTTTCAAAACCTTTCAAGTATAATCAGTTCTCATTTTTTAAAGCAAGGTCATTCTATAACAAAAGGACTTGCTTGAAATTGACAACATCAGCTTGAAAGATTAGATAGGAATCTTAGAGGACAGGGAGTTTATGTTAATGGAGGAGGAACTCAGAAAAGAAGGTGAAAATGGCTGCACTGCTAGTAAAATGTAACAACATCACTGACTTGTACATGTACAAGCTGTTAAGTTGGTGAAGGCTTTGCTGTCTACATTCAACAACAAAATAAATAAGATTTTATAAAAGAAAAAGAAAAAGGATTTGTGAGGTTGAACATCTACTTCAAGAATATCAGGGGAAAAAAATCATGACCACCACAAGAAAATAAAAACAGGGGGCGTGCACTGTTAATAGCACCTTCCCTCTTTGTGTATGAGGCAACTGTACACAAGCAATTCCATCCTTTCTTTACTAGTGGCTCCTTAAGTTACCATCTCCTTAAGGATTTTCCAGTCCCCAGCCAGCCTAAGGATGCCCAGCAAGCAGACCCAGAGGTGGCTTCCAGACACCGGGAACAATCAGCAGTTACCAGGAACAATCGGCAGTTACTGTGCTCAAAGTACACACTTGGCTCGGGCTAAAGTTTAAGAAGAGTTGATTTTCCAGAGTAACTGGAACAGGCTTGACCATTTTTTCACACCCAAAATGTTTACTGAACAAATGGATAGAAACCAAATGTCACCACCAGAAAGGACATCTTTCATTCTTTCAGCCCAAAGCTAGAGACCTAAGTTGAGGCCCTGAACACTGAAGAGGAAGGAAGGCAGAGCAATGGTCTCCCAGTCTCTACCAGCTGAGTTGGTGCTGCTTTAAAAGCAGACCTCAAACCCCAGAGGCTGGTGGGTTCCCCAGCTCAAACCATCAACATCATTTGATCAGAGTTCTGTGGCACCTACTTCCTCCACACTTCACATCTGGCATTTAAAAAAAAAAAGTTGCTGTTGAGTCAATCCTTACTCACAGCACCCTAGAAGACAGAGTAGAACTGTCCCATAGGGTTTCCAAGGCTGCCAATCTTTACAGGAACAAATGCCACACAAAACTCCTGCTGTCCAGCCAATTCCAACTCACAGTGCCCCTACAGGACAGAAAAGAACTGCCCCATAGGTTTCCAAGGTTGTCATTCTTTATGGGAGCAGACTGCTACATCTTTCTTCTGTGGAGGGGTTGTATTCAAACTGTTGATCTTTCAATTCGCAGCCAGGCATTTTAACCACTGCTACGTGGTATATGAAAGACCCTAAATTTCTACAATCAGTTTTAGTCAGTTGTCAGAGAGGGAAGCAGGTGAGATAATACACATACAATGCACACAAAATATATCCCTTTCTAATAAGGAATCTAGAAAGAATCATTTGCTTTCAAACAGCTGTCTCCTTACATCAAAATAAATTGCACCTGGAAGAAAACATGTAAATATTCTTATAACGTTGCTGTGGAATAGAAACCTGCTAAGTATGATATCAACACCACAAATGAGAGTAACTTTCACATGCCAAGTCCTCCTCCCAAGAAAGGAAAAGACAACCAAGGAGAGAGAATATTGTTAAGACGTCCATACTACCTAAAGCGATCTATAAAGTCAACACAACTCCAGTCAAAATTCCAACAGCCTTCTTTATAGAAATACAAAAACTAATCCAATCTTCAACTTTACATGGAAGGACAAAAGGCCCCAAATACCAAAAAGCAGTATTTAAAGAGAAAAAGGTAGAAGGACTCCTACTTCCTGATTTTAAAACATACCATACAGCTACAGTAATCCAAACAGCCTGGCACTGGTATAACAATGGATACACAGACCAATGGAACAGAATTGAGAGTCCAGAAACAGACCCACACCATTTTTTTTAAATTGTGCTTTGGGTGCAAATTTACAGAGCAAAATTTTACATTCACATCGCAGCACTATTTACAATAGCCAAAACTTGGAAACAACCTAGATGTTCATCAACTGAGGAATGGATAACCAAACTATGGTACATACACACAATGGAATACTATGCAACGCTAAA